TGAAGTACAGACTGCTGTAGTTTCAGACACCTCTTCACGATACAATCACTAATGAAGTGACTTGGGCACATCTGTCAAAAACTCAGGAGGCATCACATTGACTATAAAAAGAGGGAGTAGACAGAAAAAGGCAAAACGCTTCGTCCAAGATTCCATGGCTGACTCATGGACCCGAGCCGACACGACACTCGGGAACACGATGTGTCACACTGATAAACATTTGCCTTCCCACAAACACATGCATTAAGTCCTCCAGTAATGAAGGAACAGAAAAATGAAAAGGAACTGGTTTTACAGGTCAGCATTATTTAGACCTCTGGAAAAACATAGGAGTTGTTCTCGTATTAGAATGGAGTTTTCTCTGACCCTTTTGAAGATAACTGCTGGATCGGGTTACACCAAATGTCCACCTCACTGGTATCTTTAGTTGAATTGTGAATGCCTCATGAGCAGCATGAACATGAGGCAATTATGTAAGAATGCTTTCCAGAATACTTCTGCAGCCTTCTACAGCAAGGATTTTATATTTTAGCAGCTCTAGCTTTACCTGAGACATGACAAGGAAAAAAAACCTATTTCCTAGATATCTCCTGCATAATCAGCCAGGGAAGCAAACAGCTGTAGCTCCAAGGTCATGTAGACAATGCTCTTGAATCTCAGTAAGCTAGTAAACAGCGTGAAAACACAAAAAGCATGTCAAGAACACAGCTTTTGTATGTTGAATTTAAAATCCTGGAAATTAAAAAAAAAATACTAAGATTGGTCTACACATTCGAAGTAACAGCTGTGCTCCTTGGCAAATAAAGTGTGCCAACCTCGATTTCCAGTTTTCATCTATTGACTTCCAAAAGACAAATTCATTTCTCCATGTTTCTCTTCATCATGTATGTTACCTGTTTCTCCTCATCACATATGTTACCCGGGTTCAGTTTCTTCTCATGCCCAGACAGGAATTCTTTAAAATATTCTTTTAAAATTTTTAAATTTAAAAGGAATGAAGAAGTATTGCAGATGCAACTGCCTGCCATCAGAGCTTAGCAACAAAATTAATTTTTTAGAGCAACAATCAGGTTTTTAGTATTTCACAGCCAATGTTTTTCACCATCTCTCAGCTGCTCTCAGAACTCCCTGGAATCTGGCTACACTCCCATCTCCCACTTTTTACACAGGCTAACTGGACTATAAAAGGCAGGAAAGCACTGCTCCCTAGGGACACCTGATAGCATGTAGCCTTTCCACAGCACTTCTCTTTCTTCTGTGTTTTTTTACCCTTGGTGGGAAAATCTCTGCATGAACTTAAGAGATGGGTTCAATACTCAAGCAGTATTGACTGGAGACACACATTAAAAAAGCCAAAATTTAATACAAATCAAATGGAAGAGAGTCTTTGGGCTGTGACAGTTTATTTTACCACCACCCAAGGCTGGCATGCAGCTAATTTTCCTTCTGAGGCACTAGTGGTTGTAACTGAGCTACTTATAAAGTTAACTTTATTTAAGAGTTAATTGTATATCTTTCCTAGCTGTCCAGAACCTGGCTTCAGCAACAAAATTTTTCCCTGTTTTCCTAGAAACAAGTGTCTTTACATCTCTAGGCTGGATTAAATCATGATGTGCAGTTTTATTCTAGGTCTGTACCTGTCAGTGAAAGAGATGAATGAGCAAAAATGGGTCTCACTCACTTTTCCCCAAAGACCCTGAGCTCGTGCTCCTCCAAGTCAGGGATGACACACTGCTGGTTATCTGCTGGATGCCAGAAGCTGCATTCACACAGACTTGGGGAGTGGAAGCATCCAGCTATCCACTGCTCTGGATCTTTATTCCAAACCATTCCCTGCTATATGCATTGCTACCTCAGCTGCTAGAAAAGCTCTGCTCTACTTAAAAGCAATGGGAGCAAGGGAAAATCTCATGGTATAGAAGACAGACTCCACAGTTAATGTCAATTCTACAGGAAAGAAAGCAGATCCTTCCACACTGCTGACCTTTTCAAAGGTGCCTCTTTCCAGTGTGAGCACACAGGAGCACTTATGTATGCTGAGTTTTGGGGTCATATGCATAGTAGGCAGATCTGGTTTAAACTTCTAGATAAGGCACCCTGGAAGAATATCCAGAGATTCATGCACGACATTTCCTACTGCACAGCACTTTTCCACCGTTCTTCACTTTACAGGAGGTCTGGCACACTTTTAATCAAAGTCACTTTTCTAGAAGAAATTAAAGTGAAATTCCTGGGGAGTTGTGAAATTGAATAAGCCTGTGTTAAGTGTCCTGTGTGACTCTGAAGGGGATTCTGCTGAGCCTTGGCTTTTCCTGCAAGCTCCCAAGCTCTTCCGGATGAACTGGCCGTTCTTGTGGATGCTTCCCGTCAACTCCACGATCCTGGCAGATTTTGCAGCTTAAAGAGGGGAGAAAAAATAAGAGATGTTCAGTCATCTCATATAGTGAGGCCTCAGTCTGCAGAGCAGAGGGCAGGATTGAACCGCTTTCTTCTCCTCCTCACCATGCAAAGTTCTCCTACCTGCTTCCATAAGCTTCAGCTCTCTGCACAGCTCCTCCTGCATCTTCTTCCTGTAGTCTCCAAACATGGCTCTCATGAGCTGACGCTTCTTCACCAGTGGAGCCTTGTCACTGCGCAGTGTCCTGATCGCCCTGAGAGCCTCCTCAGCTGCAGCAAAGGAGCAACAACACACAGGTTAAGGCTCCCTGCTGGCTCTGCCCCTGCACTCCTGCCAATGCTGCCCCCAGGAGAGCTCTTCTTTACTTCAATGCTTACCCTGCTTTGGAGTGGGTTTCTGTGTCTTCAAGCCGAGCTCCAGCTGATTCACACACCAGTCCACCTCTTTCCACAGCTGCTCATCTGACTGCTATCAACATGAGGCACAGTGAGCAAGAGGAAGTAAATCACCCAAAAATTACAGCAGCAGTTGCTACACAGGATGAAAGGGAACTCCAAAAAGTCAGGACTATTCCAACCATTATGTTCTGGTGACCACTTAACAGACTTCATGACATCTTCCCTCTAGTGTTTTTCATCAGATAAACTAAAAGCACTGTGCAAATGTTTAGTTGCACCTCACTGTCTCTATTAGATGGATTTAATGTGGCTGCCATTCAGAAGGTGCTGTTTTCTGGAAAGCCGTACAGCTTTCAAAGAAACTTACAGATGGGAGAAATAAACATTAACAACAAAAAACCCCTATCCTCAAACCTGCACAAAATCCAAAAAAGCAAACAATGGACAAAATTAGAAGCTGAGTCTTTCTTCTCAGCTCCTCTGTGCTTGCTCAACCAGAAATGCATGAGGGACAAGGAAGATGAAGCCCATGGAGATGAAGGAAGCCAAGTGCCATTGAGCAAAGCCAGCTGGCTAACTCAGCAGTGGGACAGGGAAACAGGGCTGCATCCTGGAACTGCAGCAGTTCTTAACTGTTATATACATGTAAATACAAATGCCCTCACACTGTCTCCTTTTACCTACAACAGTGTCCTTCTAAAGGACTGGAAGGGCTTTACCTGACCTTCAACTTTTTCTAAGTCTCTGGTGCTCAGCAGTCTTTATTGGTAGGACTGCAGGCGAAGCAGACCTTTGGATGAAATGTTCCAGAGGCAGGTGAACACTCAGTGCAATTTCCTTGTAAAATATTAAGAAAAGGAAGGTTTTGTGCAATCTTGTGCTACAGAATGAATCAGCTGGCACTGTTTGTTACTAAAACCTACACCAGTGCTGGAAAGTAAAATAAAATGAAGACCTGGACCTTAGCAGAACAGAAAACCTCAGGGTGTGCCTTAATGTTGTGTTTACACATAACTTGCAACTTCAGATGACTTCTGGGCCATGCCCTACAGAGGAACCTTCTCGGAAGCACCCTTGAGCTCTACCACAGGTCCTTGGCTACACCAGGTGGCAGTTCTTTGCCTTGGCTTTGCTCCTTGTACTACGAAAGCAATTCATCCTGCAACACACACATCAGAGCTACAGGGCCTGGCTCAGCACCCACAGGCACCAGCTTGGCACCAAATGAAGACAGTTACCTCCATTTCCTATTTTTATTTTCTTAAAAAAACATAGCATCCAGCTCACCAGGATTAGCTGTCACAAGCCTAAACATGAAATCTTTCAGCACAAATCTGAAGGACCATTAACTTCCTTTGCTCTGGTCAGGTTCCTCAGCTGTGTAGCAGAGAAAGCAAACAGCTGCTGGAACATGTAAGCAGCAAATGTGGGCTTTCAGCTTCCATCTCAGGGCAGTATGCTAGTTGTTCATCTGTGCAAAGAGATAAAGTGTCTCTTCAGCTCAAGGGTTTATAAATAATGGGATCCCATCAGTATTTAATTACCTGAGAGGTCTTCTCATCCTGATGGGAAGTATCTGTATTTTGACAGCTGTTAGCTTCTGCCTTTGCCTTCCTGCTGGTCTCAGTTTCTTCTGTTTTGTTTTTACTGACAGGTGCTTTTTGCTTCTTCTTTTTCTTCTTCTGGGCAGCTCCACCTCCTGTTGATTTTTCTGTCATTGCCTCATCTGCAGGGGCTGTTTCTGTTTGGGGGATCTTTGATGTGGCATGGCTTCTGTCCTCTTCGGGTGCATTCCCTGTCACTTGAGTCACCTCAGGCTTCTGCAAGGCTGCAGCCTGTGGCAGAGCTGCTGATTCAGCAGGCAGTGAAGGATCTGCTGTGTGCTCTGTATGTTGGCTCGCTGGAAGTAACTGAAGATGAGGACACTCTTCATCTGGGATGGCAAAGTTGAAAGCAAACTTGGGTTCTTGTCCAGGGGCAGCAAACCTCAAGGCGCCATTCCAGTTCTCCTGCTTAGTGGCTCTGTTTTGTACCTGCTCATCACCACTGTCACCAGGGTCAGCTTCTGGCTCAGTCTTGGAAAGTGTAAAATCAAATCGGAAGCTGCTGCCAGATGACGTGAACAACTCTGGCTTTACCTCAGGGGTTGGATCAGACTGTTTCACACCATCTGCAGCCTGCCCCTTGCTTGGCTGTACTTCCACAACATCAGGGGTCATGCCTAGAAAAGACAAAGAACACTTGTTTGAGAACACCAATACTGGTGTGCTCAATGCACCAGTTTCCTACCATGGGGGTGTCACTGCAGCCTCCACTCTAAGGCACTGCCCAGAGAGGTGACTCAATTAATGCTGCAACCTAAGTAATCTACAGAAAAGAACCAAATCTTACTATCCCCTGAGGGACAGCTCAAGCTCACCTTTCTCCATGCTCTTCTGACCCTCATCCATTTTGAGATGACAATCCCCAAACTCATTGCTCATCACTTGCTGCTTCTCTGCAAGAGGAGTCTCAGGGGAGTGCAGGACCTTGAAAATGTGTTGGGTTTCTTCTGCTCCACTCAGAAAACACCAAGAGAGACAAGAAGCAGTTTACAGTGGGCCTTAAAATCCACACTGTGGGATGCTGATGACTGACTCAGAGTAATGTGCTCTGTATTCATACCACCTCTGTCTAATCCATAACTAGCATTTAATTGAAAAGGAACTCCAAGTGCTTCCAGAAGCTCAAATACTGTGAGATGTTCCTACAGAGGAGAAAAAGAAATCATAACTGCTTATTACTTACAGTTGGACTCTTACACTGCAGTGAGTGCAGTGCTAATGGCACAGAAGCTACAGAGAGCTTAGCAATCTTTCCCTCAAGGTGAAGACAAATCCCAGAACGTAACTCAGTGTCTCTTCTCTGGAAAACTGGAAAAAATCTAAGTAGAGGGTATACCCTGAAAAGCAGGACTCTTGCTCTTGCCTACAAATCAGCCTGAACACAACAAGAATCCAAAGCTTTTGTGTTAGAACAAATTCTCTAAAAAACAAAGTTGTTCTGTGACAGTGGTTCCCAAGATCTCAATCTGGAAACCCTAAATATAGTCTTGTAGTGTTTGTCCCACTTATTTTAAACTACAGAACAACTTGAGAGTAGTACTGTGGAATGGGAACATCCCACCTCTCCCAGCTGCAGGGCCCAACCATCCTCTCGGGAAAGAACCCTTCCCTAACATCCAGCCTAATAATCACCCCCTAACACAGCTCCAGCCGTTCCCTGGTTCGGTCCCTGGTCACGGAAAGCAGAGATTGGAGCTGTCCCTCTGCTGCCCCTCAGGAGGAGCTGCAGCCCCAGTGAGCTCTGTGCTCCATCTCCTCTCCTCCAGCTGAACAAACCAAGTGCCCTCAGCTGCTCCTCCTATGGCTTCCCCTTGAGACCCTTCCCATCCTCACATCCCCCCCCCTTGGACACTCTCTAACAGTTACAGACCCTTCTGATATTGTGGTGCCCCAAAGTGCCCGCAGCACTGGAGGTGAGGCTGCCCCAGGGCAGGGCAGGGCAGGGAGAGCAGGACAATCCCCTCCCTGTCTCAGCCAGTAATGCTGGGCCTGATACACCCCCAGTCGTGGTGGGACAGAAGTGAGATGTACCTTCACAGCATCGGGGTGTCAGGGTCCTGGCCACATGAACTCTTATTTCAAGGGGTTTGGCTAGCTGCAATCCAGGCCAGTTACACAACACGAGGTAGAGAAAGCTCCAGGGAGCTGCTTCCCTCCCTCACCTGGGAGTTACTCTAAGCTGAGTACCTTATGCATACAGTGCTACAGCCAAACAATTCATTGATCCAGACCCTGAATTCCTGGCTAGATGTTGGATCTGCCTCCTCACCAGACTTCTCCAGCAACTGGGACTCCAGCAGAGCCTGGGTACCATCAGCAGCACTGCTCAGCTCTCCTGGGTCACATACTGTGCAAAAGGGTCCTTTTCTGGCCAGGGCACTGCTTCTGCTGTCTCTTTCCTGTACTCAGCTCCTGCTTCCCCTCCAGGAGCTGCCTTCTCTGCTGCTGGGCACTGGGGTCCAGCACAGGACACGTTTGTAACAAAATGGTCTGATCACAGAATAGCTTAGGCAGAAACTTTAAAGCTGATCCACTCCTGTCATGGGCAGAGACACCTTCCACTATCCCAGGTTGCTCCAAGCCCCATCCAGCCTGGCCTTGGACACTTCCAGAGTTCCAGGGGCAGCCACAGCTTCTCTGGGCACCCTGTGCTAGGGCTTCACCACCCTCACAGGGAAGTATTTCTTCCTAGTATCTGATCTAAGCATTATCTCTGGCAGTGGGAGCCATTCCCATGTCCTGTCCCTCCATCCCTTGCCCCCAGTCCCTCTCCAGCTCTCCTGGAGCCTCTTCAGGCACTGAAAGGGGCTCTGAGGTCTCCCCAGAGCCTCCTCTTCTCCAGGATGAACAATCACAACCCTCTCCCACAAGCCTTAATTCTTCTTGGAGCCTGATGCCCAAGCACAAGGTGTAGGCACCTATCAGTCACTACTCCATCCTCAGGTGGACCAGCAAACACTCACCTGAGCATCTTACATGGGGTTCACAATCCTCTTCCAATGTTAGGTACTGACCAGCAGCAGGACATGTGTCTGCAGCTGGTGGACTAATGAGATCAAACTATGACCTTATAGAATTTTATCTTTCATGTAATTTTTCCCTGGAACAAGCTTCACAAAAATAAACCTACTGGTGTTTGAGGGCCAAACACGCTCGCACAGTATTTCCTTAAGATGAAAAACAAAGGCAGAGCAGAAAGGTTCTGCTGTAGCAGAACCAAACAAGTCATTATATGGGAAAAAAAGAACATGACAAAGAATACAGAAAACAGGGAGAACAAACACTCAATGACTGAAAGATAAAACTGCTTCCAGAAACACAGTCCTTAAAGCCCAGCGTTGTCCTGTGTTTAGAACAAATCCCAAATAACACAAGAACAGGGAACATAAAGGAGAGAAGAAACAGAAAAACACCCACATCTGCTAAATCCCACCCAAGGCCAGAATATGGGGGGTGTGGGCTGGGAAAGAGGAAATACCTGGTTTGGGGTGTGGAGTGAGATGGAGATTGGCCTCCAGTTGTGAAATGCACCACTCCAGCTCCTCCTGAAATACACCTTGGGGAGCCTTGGACATCATGTGGGAAAGGCAGAATGATCAGAACCACAAATCTCTCACCTTCAAAACTGAGTTTTCTGAGGCCTCCTCCCCTCTCACAGGAGATCAGACCTGTCTTTACATTGGAGGTGTGCTGTGCAACAGTTCATTGATACCCTAAATCAGCACAGCACAGGGACACGTGTCCTGTGTGGAGAGCACCAAATGAGCCCTCTGCACTGCAGCTCTTACTAGCAGGAAACCCCACCACTCCTGGCAAGCCAGGACTTCCCACAGATTTATTTTTTCATCTTCTTCTCCACGTGTCCCTTTTTAAAAGCCCCAAATGGAAAACTTGTCATTTTTGCTGAAGCTTAGGCAATAGCAAAACGTCTCTACGGCAGGAAATTTCCCTTTAGCACAGCTCTGGTAACAACAGAATTTATCTTTAGCCTAAACACAAGCCCTTGAGGCCCCACGTGCTGTATGTCTACGCTGGCTGCCTCTTGATACGCAGGTGGAAGTTAAGGTTTGCAGCCCGCCTGGGAACAAGGCACACTAAGACACTGGGAACCAAAAGAACGTTCAGGATAAGGAGATGAGCAGGGACGGGGAAAGGCACCAGAGCTGGGAAAGCCTTTAAGGAGAACCTGCGGGAGCTGGCCCCGGGCCCAGCACGGGCCGAGCCTTACCTGCTCCGCGCCGGGCTCCCCGCGCCGCCGCCGCCGGAAGACGCGGCCCCGCCGTACCGCCCACCTCCGGTCACGGGCCTCGCGTGGGCTCTGGGAGCAGCCCCGCCCGGGCCGCCACCACCGACTGGAGCTCGGGGCCCGCTCTGGGCCTCTTGGAGCCCCCGGACCCTCGGCGGGGCCTCTCTCCGCCGCCGGCCGCGGACTCAGGCTGGGTGGGGGGCCGGGCCGGTGTGCGCCGCCCTCAGCGCCGCGGCCGCTCCCCGCGCTGCCGTTCCGCCCGAGAGCGCCCGGGCCCGGCGGGCCGCAGTCCCCAGCGCCCACCTGGGCGGCGCGTTTGTGACCCCTGCGACTCCCTCGTGCTCCCCTGAGCCCCGCACTGTGCCGCACACACGTGTGCCCACGGAGCGGGCCGCGGGTATCCGGCGGTGCCGCCTTCCCTGGGCCAAATCCCCGCAGGAGCGCCCAGAGCAGCCCGTACCCCTCACATGCCAGCCTGACACAGGCCATGCCAGCAAGCACCAGCGCAGGCAAAAAAGGTTAATACACACCTATTGGTACTGTCTAATCCCATTTCTATTTTAGATTTCCTTTTGATTATTTAATTTTGTAAATAAGAAGTTAGACACCTTGTTTCATAAGCATTTTTCCCTGTTGGATTGTTTCCAACAACAGCCAGAAGATCCCCGTGAGGTCAGTACTGCAGCAGCACAGCGTGTCACTGCACAGGGCCTGCTGTCTCTCCAGTGCTTCAAACCATGGAGGTTGTAATTTCTCTTGACATTGGCAGTTGATGTTAGAAATCGTCCAAGGCTGACAGAAGGGCTCTAAAGTGCTGGGGAAGCACTTCCAAATGATGCTGCTAAAGATTATAAAATGGTACTGGAAAAATCAGTACACTTCTGCCAATCCCAACCAGACTTCCGTCTGTCTTACAATCTCCACCCTCGCTGAGACTTAGCCATTGTCTGAGCCCTCTCCTCATTACAAAAACCATCTCAGTGGTTTGAGGCTTGTCCAAGGTTGTCTTGAGACTTCATCTCAAGGCTTGTTCTGAGTGGTTGAGGAGGGTTGAAATCAGCCTCAGCCCTCATATACAAGTGTCCCAGCGTCAGGAAAAAGTATGACAGTCAAGTATTGTAGAAGATAATGAGCACAAAATAATGAGCTATCATATCTATCTTGAAAGGCCAGAATTCCACCGCAATTTTCCTCTCCCTCGGTGCCTGAGCTGGACTAAGGGCTTGTGAGCCTGTCACCACCAGTCTGGATGCATCCCCTAAAGCAAAGCTTCACATCCATAGCCTGAAGAATGCACAAACCCATCAGGCGATGCAAAGACTTCTTGGTATGGCCTGCAGAACCCACCCAGACAGCGCAAGGAGTGAAAGGAACATTGTTTTATGTGGTAGGATGCTGTCCATATCTCCAGCTCTGTGGACTCAATGCCCATGCAGGGAAAAGGCACAAAGGACCAGCAATGCCTTGGTATTCCTGGGTTTGATCTCTGCCCTGAGGATTCAGCCCCACAAGGGCACCGAGTAAGCGAGCTGTGGCAGCCTTGCTCTGAGGACACACAACAGAAGGGCTGTCAGGAGATCCAAACATGATCCTCAGCTTCTGCTTACACAACAGAAACCTTGTTATGGGAAGAGCTGCGAGCTGAGCTGGTGGAAGCTGATGTCTAACAAGTCATGGCTGCCTGGGACAAACAGCAGGCAGAAGAATTGGAATGGCTTGAGCCTGCCTCAGGTACAGAGCAGGTTAGTGTACGCTGTATAAACTGTGCAAAGGCTGGGACAACTCCTCACTGCTGTCAGATGGTGACAGAAGCACCTGTTGGGGAGCAGGTCAGCTGTACAGTCCTGTAGGTCACTCCAGGACTGGCATCCTTGCCAGCACACAGCTGCCTTCTTTCCCCATATCACCAACTGAGCACCAACAAATTCGTGGCAGGCATGGCTGTAACTGGAAGCTGGAAAATGCAGCTCTTTGGTATGACGCTCCATTGAGGGAGTTGCAGGAAGGAATTGGGGAAAAAAAACCAAAAGAGAGAAGTGGGGTGGTTGCCAGAGCTGCTAACCACAGTGTCAGTGAGCCTTGGAGGGCACTGGGACAGCCCAGTGTCACATGCCCGACACATCCTGTCGCCAGACTTCCTCGCCGGCAATGTAAGTGGCTTGCACATACAGGCTGTCATTCAGCATTAGGAAATCTGTGTTGGACAAGAGAGAAAGAAAGCAGCTGTCAGAATGGAGCTGCTGGAGTTAGCTGGGGAGAGCTGAGATCACTGGGGAAGTGCTTCTCCCCATCCCAGGATGGCACTGCAGTGCAACCCTGGAAACGGCAGCTCTGCTTTCTGTTCAGCTGAAATGTAGGGGGCACTCCAAAGGGTTTCCCAAACACCACCAGCATCCAAGGGAAAAACCACTGGAGCAAAAGCCCAGAGCATATCCCAGGTGGAGCAAGTCTCCCTGCAGCTCCCACAAAAGCAGGGGATGAGCATATGCTTACAAAGCAGCCCCTGCTTTGCTCTAGCACTTGTGAGCTCTGATACCATCATCTCCATACCAGTACGTGCTGTGCCCACACCAGTACATGCTGTGCCCACACCAATACCTGCATCAGAGTCATAATCCAGTGTCCCCTTTTTATGTTCAATCCCCAGGAGCTGGGCGGGATGCAGAGATGCCGCCTCCAACGCGGTCTCTACCGAGCACCCTTGGACAGAGAATTGGGGAGATGTTAGGGCAGCCAGAGCCCCATTGCCAGAGCAGCCCAAATCCCCCTGGACAAAGCAACACCCAGCCAGGCCACTGATGGACCCAAGCTGGAACACCCTCAGCACAGCCAGCTGGAGCTGAGGAGGGAAATATCCCTACAGGAGAGAGCAGGCATAGGAAAACTGAATACCTAGGGTATGGAGAAGAGAAAACCATTCAGTTTTGTGAGGAAGAAGCAGGAGAGTTCACCGCTTATTAGTTCTGTGGGTTAAAATGAAACTTCCCCCTCAAAAAGGGGCTCACGTGAAGGCACTGATCCCAGCCCTTGCCATGTCTCAGGTGAGAGGGAATGTTCCTGGTGGAATGGACACATCTGGCAAAAGCAAGACCTCCTCCCATGTCAACATAGGGAGCAGCAACTTGTGGACAAGGCTTTCTTACCTGTGGCTTCTTGGAAGTGTCGAACACAAGTGTCCATGGTTGCCACACTGCCACTCAAGGTCTTTGTGCCTGGGAGAGAAACAGGATGGCACTGAGCAGCGCCCATAGCTCACAGCAAGAAGCAGGGCACTAGAGAAGCATAATGGCACCAGAAGTGCAGAAGTCCTGTGTGGCAGGAGGAGCAGGCTGAAGGGCCTGCAGCCACTTCCTGCTGGAGCACAGGAAGAGGTACGTGGGTGTTATCCCCAGCTCTACTATCAGACCAGCTGGACTGGGTGAAACCTGCTTACAACACAGGCAATTGCTGCCAGAGGAAGGGAATGAAGAAAGGAATGCTCCTTCACTGAAATACCTTCCCAGTCTTCATCTGCTTGGGAATTTGAAACTTAGGGAATTTAGCTAGCATTAGGTGCTAGTGTTACAATGAAGAAAAGGGACAATAAATGTCTCTTAAGGTTTCTCTGTCCTTACTGATGCCCTGAACCTCTAGCACCCTTAGCACTGGACAATGAAGCTTTCAAAGATGTTGCAGACAGCTATAACTGGACAGATTCTTCCATGAGGGTGGCACACTTCTCGTCTTTACCAGGAGTTTCATTACCCTAAAGGCCAAGTCACTGCAGATCCACCAGTTATCAAAACCAAAGAGGGTGGCACAAACGCTGCCACACAGCGACAGAGACAGCAAGGTGTGCTCCGCTCCTCAGAAACGTTGCCAGTGGCAGCACTGTCCCCAGCTCTTCAGCAAGAGGGACAGCACTTACCTGCGATGTAGGTGTTCAGCCCATCGATCTCCACCACCTGCTGACCCAGTGTGTGCCGACCCGGTGCCAGCCCCATGCCAGCGATTGCATCTGTCACCAGCACCAGCCCTGCGGAACACAAGGAAAGGGGCTTGTCAACACTGCTGCTGATTTTCCTGCAGCTCCAAGCACTGTGTCCTGTTGACCCTCCCAGAGAGGAACCACATGTCTCCAGCCACATCGCACCAAAGCAAGAGGACTGAGGGATCAGCACATCTGGCTGTGACCTGCCAGACAGCAAGGGCGGCACAAATGTCTTCTGGGAGATGGCACAGTGCTCAGAGTGGCTGGTAACACTGTGGAGACTGCCATGGCTCACCTTTGGGGTGGGCTCGGTGGGCAATGCGCAGGGCAGCGGGGTTGGTGTGGATGCCATCAGAAATCATGCCATAGAAGACCCTCCGCCCAGCAGGAATCTTGTCACTTGTCAGCAGCCCCACAATGCCAGGGTCACGGTGGTGGAACTGCTCGAGGGGAGAGAGGGGACAAGCTGTGGAGGAGCAGGACACACTGGCTGAGACTTCACTTCAGGGGATGCAGCTGCCAACTCTATCACACAGTGCCTGGCAGCTTTACCAGGCAAACCTGGGCATTGCCTTGAATCACAGAATCACAGGATGATTTGAGTTGGAAGGGACCATAAAGCTTATCCTGTTCCAACCCCTGCCATGGGCAGCATCACTTTCCACTAGTCCAGGGTGCTCCAAGCCTGTTGAACCTGACCTTAAATGCTTCCAGGGATGGGACAGCCACAGCTCCTCTGGGCAACCTGTGCCAGGGTCTCAGTACCCTCACAGGGAAGAATTTCTTCCCGATATTCCATCTAACCCTGCCCTCGGGCAGGGAGAAAACATTCTTCCTTGTCCTGCCTCTTCAGGCCTTTGTCCAAAGTCTCTCTCCAGCTCTCCTGGAGCCCCTTTAGGCACTGGAAAGGGCTCTGAGATCTCTGGAGCCATCTCTTTCCCAGGTGAACACCCCCAGTTCTGCCAGCCTGGCTCCAGAGCAGAGGGGCTCCAGCTCTTGGAGCATCTCTGTGGCCTCCTCTACACTCTCTCCAGCAGCTCCATGTCCTTCTGATGTTGGCCCCAGGGCTGGAGGCAGCTCTGCAGGTGGGGTCTCACCTGAGTGGGGCAGAATCTCCCCCTTCCCTGCTGCTCACACACAGGAGGGGGTCTGGGTGCACAGAGCAAGGGCATGTCCACCTCTCACCCACCAACACTTCCTAGTCCTTCTCAGCGATGAACTTCGAAAGTCTGCTACAGCCTTGCCTCTCTTTCAGATCCAGCAGTAGGAATGTGAAGCCAGAGGTTCAGTGCCAAAACCTCATTGCAAAGCATGGTACAAAACCAGCTGGGGAGAACACAGACCCATGGGGAGCAGGAGAAAAAGCCCAAAAGCAGCCATGGAGGAGGGCAGGTGCCTCTGGGGACTCACCGGCAGCATGGCATTGAAGAGGTGAGTGATGAAGGTTGCTCCGTGCTGCACAGCCTCCTCGGCCTGGGACAGATTAGCCACTGAGTGACCTGGGAACACAGACCAACACCTGATTCCTCTGCCCATCTTTCTACTGATTTCCCTACAGGAGCAAAGACACTGCATCACTGCACTATGCTCTAATGGCCACCCTGGCCTGAGGTCTCAGGTGCAGACTCGACACAGATGTGTCTGGCCATGACCTGGAGGGACTCTGGGGGTGGGTGCTTACCTAAACTCCTTCAGTATTCACATCACAGCTGTCACAATGCTGCCTTGCTCACAGCATGTTGTCTTCAGGCTGAGTTTGAGGTCCAATGATATGCCTTTCTGCTGGCCTCACATACTTAAATGTTTTGTAGAGAATTATCAGAGGACACCCTCACAACAGTGGGAACTTTGCCAGGAAAACATATGGGAATCAAACTATCCAGAAAGAAACTTGTTTCCCCAACAGGACAGCAGCTCTGTGGGCTAACCTTGCCTTTCTGGAGTTGTTTATGTGGCTTTGGGATAAGAGATAGTCTGCTGTATGAATGCCCTTCTCACTTGAGGTTTAATTTCACCCTGAGTAACTCCCTCCTTTAAAAAACAAAACAAACTTCTTCAATGATATGAGACAAAGAAGAGTTTGTGAAGCAAAGGAAAAGAAAAACACAGCCAGTTTTAAGTCAGAAGCCATCCATATATTGGAGGGAGAGGTTTCTACAGTACTTCTGGTTGAAAAACAGAGTTATCAAACCGAAAGTAACCTTTGGAAAATGATTTCACCTGTCACATAAGGCCTAAAGCAGTGGAACTTCAGAGTTTGAACCCTTCCACATCATCAAACCTCCAACCAAGACTGCTGTTCTTCCCTGTGTTAGAACAGCACCTTGTGTTTACTGCAGGGACTCCTAAGTCGATACAAACTTTGGCCCTTGCCATGATAGACTGACAGCATCAAGCAGCGTCCCCATTTGTGACAGGTCTGTCACCTCCATCCAGAATCCCACCCTGTCCAGTTGCATTCATGAGACGCTGTTAGACATGCCACAGCCCCAGGGGAGGGGCAGCCAGAGCTCCCCTAAGCCCTGGGTGCCCCAGCCCTTACCCAGGGAGACGCAGATGCCCCGCTTGGTGAGCTCCCGGATCACCTCACTGCTCCTCCTCATTTCAGGGGCCAGGGTCACTATCTGGACACAGTCCAGGGAGCCATAGGTGGCAAGCAGGTCCTGGAAAGCACCTGCCTCAAAGGTGCGGAGGCAGTGCTCTGGGTGGGCACCCTTCTTCTCCTTGCTGATGAACGGCCCTTCCAGGTGGGCTCCTGTCCAAACAGGAACAAAGAACCATGACCCTTCCTCCCCCTGCCAAGGACCAAGAAACCTGCTGCTCCTGTCATACTCTTGCCATTTTTCTGCAGCAAAACATGTCCCAGGCAACTGTGAGCTCAGCACAGGGAAGATGCAGTGCTGGCCACTGGCCAATCCAAGCCACCCCACTGCCATTGCTCCAGGGTCTCCAAAGGGGCTCGTGCAGTGTGTGTACGAAGACAGAAAACACGGTAAAAGCCAGGCACAGACTAAGGGAAAAGGTGCCCACGTGTGCATCCCTCCCGCTGAGAGTTCCAGCCCCTATTTGCACTCTGTAACTTCTTTCACCTCAACTGTGAGCAAGATAATTGCCCACCTAGAGTAGCACCACAGAGGGATGAATCCACTTACCCAGGATTCCTGCTCCATGGGCTCCACCATTTCTTACACTGATCTGAGGGAGAATCTAGAGAAAGAGGTTTGTCAGACATGGCAACACAGACACAGCCCCCCAAGCCTGCCGAATCAGACCCAAATGTCAGGTCTGCAGGGAGATTTGTAGCTGGACCACTTGGGACCATCACAGCCCACAAAGGAAAAGCTGTCTCCAAGCCTTGGTGTGCAGACCTCGCTTGGGAGGCATGGCTGTCTCAGCATTCTAAAGGCTGAGGGCAAGAAACCCAGGGTAGAGTCCAGCTCCTCATGCCCATGGCTTTTCTGCCCTGACGCTATCCCTGTCTTGGCCCACCCACCTCCTGATACCAACCTCAGTCCCTGATCACCCTGCGGACGGGAGAGGAGAAGGCCCCTTACCTGGTGGTACACAGATGGAGGAGAGGTCACCAAGGTAGGACAGAAAGAGGTCACTCCATGGGAGAGGATTTTCTGACTGACCAGGTCAATACCTGATTTGAAGTCATCCGTAGCCAGAGAGAAGTCCACCCCGAAGCCTCCTGCACCACAAACAAAACAGGGGTGAAACTGCTGCTTCCCCAGTGAGTATGCTCCACCCAGAAACACTGAAGAAAGACTTAATGTGACTAGAGGGAGATGTTCCATTTGTAGGGCGCTGACACAGAGGGCTCCATCAGCATTTCTGTCCTACATTCCAAGGTTCCACAAGTACAAATCTCACCATCACTGCTCTCATGAAGTGCTCTTCCCAGCAGCACCCCAGTGTTTTGCAAGCACAGCCTTTTTATTTTGATGCAGGGCAAAATGTGACAATTCCCATCTGAAAAGGGAACTGACTTCCAACTTTACCTACCATAGAACAAGCCCCTCTTTCCTTCTGAAGAGAGCTGTTGCAGTTACTTGTTATTGTTCCTATGGGAAGTCGTGCCCTCTCCACCCACATCCTGAAAGGGTAGGGCAGGCATCCTGCCAGTGCAGGGGCAGGATAAAATATAGAGAAAAATGAGTTCAGAGGAAACCCTCACCTGGCCAAAGGAGATCACTTACACAACAGCAACAACCACAGGTAAAATTGCTCTTTGTCATTGGTTGGGTGACTCACACCTCCCTTGAGCAGCTGAAACGTGGCCATGGACAGGACACCCAACAGTGGGGCTGGGGGTCAAGGATGGACAAACCCGGGATGTCCCCAGTCCATGAGTGCATGTAGCTTCACTGTACCATTGATCTGGACGTCAATGAAACCTGGGGCGATGATGCTGTCCTTGCAGTCCAGCTGGACATCAGCAGAGCCCTTTTCGTCAAAGAAGAGTTTCTCTGGGTTGAGGATCTTCCCCTCTCGCACCCACAGGTCCTCCCTGGAGGGACAGTCACACATACCAAGCTCTGGTGCCATCTGCAGCACACGGAGCAGGTGGCCATGCCCCAGTGACAGTGATCCTGAGCAAAGTGGATCCCACCGGCACCTCCAACCACGGGCTCTGCGATGTCTGCCAGAGCACAGCTGCTCTTTAAGCTGGGACACAGTGAGCAGCCCTCTCTACCTGGCTCTGGCTCTACAAACTCACAGATATGGGATTTTCACGGGCTGCTCCTCAAAGGGGATGGTGGTGTTGATTGCCAAAGCACCAGGGGGCTGGCAGAAGAGGCAAAACAACAGGGACCGTACACCACACCCGCCCCATCTCGCTCCAAAACCTGGCAGAGGTAGAGCACGGCAGGGTGAGGGCCAATAGCCGGTGCACAGGGGGAACTGGCCACCGTCCTTTGGCACTGCAGGTGTCCGCTCAGGTCGCAGCCTGTCCGGGAGCCCCCACAGCCCTGGCACCGCCGCAGCCTTGGTACCCACAGACACCACGATACCCCCAAACAGCCCTGGTACCGCCAGACATCACGGTACCCACAACAGCCCTGGCACCCCAAACAGCCCTGGTACCGCCGGACATCACGGTACCCGCAACAGCCCTGGCACCCCAAACAGCCCTGGTACGCCAAACAGCCCTGGCACCCCAAACAGCCCTGGTACCCCAAACAGCCCTGGCACCCCAAACAGCCCTGCTACCCCAAACAGCCCTGGTACCTCTGCCTCACCTCTGGAGCTGGTGGTCCCTCAGGATGCGGCAGTTGGTGAACTGCACGATGGGCGCGTCCGAGACGGATTTGTTGGACGGCATAGCGGGGCAGCGGGAGGCGGCGGGAAGCGCGAATCCCCCGGTGGCCGGCGCAAGGGGAAGGGACCGGGCGTGGCGGAGCAAGGCCAGGCCGCGGCTCCGGTGCGAGCGGCTGCTGCGGGACTGGACAGCCGGTGAGGGGCGGAGGCACCGGAGCACCGCCCCCGGGGCAGGCGGAGGGTGAGTTCCCTCCCCTACTCGGTGCTCGGAGCCGACGCTGTGAGGAACAAGCCCCACGAGGCCGGGCGCCGCCACGGTGCCCGATGAGTGCCGGGCCCCGGGCACTGTCCCCACCGCGGGGGCACCGGGGCCCGGGGGCGTGGCCTGGGCGCGGCCGCGCCCCGCAGCACCGCCCGCTCCCGGTCACGTGAGCGCGCACGGCACGTGCCGGGATTCCCCGCCCGCCCTGCGGCACGTGACCGGCCCCGGAGAGCCGCCATCACGGGAAGGGCGCTGCCATCTTGAGAAGGTCGACGGCGGAAACCCTCCTCGTGAGACCCCCTCCCGAACCCCCATCATGAAATCCCGTCGTGAGATTCCATCCCGAACCCCCATCATGAAATCCCATTGTGAGATTCCATTCTGAACCCTCCCCCGAGACCCCATCATGAGACCCCATTCTGAAACCCTCCATCCTAAACCCCCCTCTTGAGATCCCATCCTGAACACTCATGATGAGATCCCATCGTGAGACCCCATCATGAGATCCCATCGTGAGACCCCATTGTGAAGCCATGCTGACACCCCACCCATTGTGAGACTCCATCCTGAGATCCCCATCCTAGGCTCCATTGTAAGATCTCATGCTGAGAATCCATGCAGAAACCCCATCCTGAGATCCCCATCTCGACACCTCCATCCCAAGACCCCCATTGTGACACCCTGGGCCCACTGGCCCCTGTGTACCCAAGGGAAGCTCACAAGGCATGGCTTCACCCAGCTGTTGTGGGCTCTGGCACTACTCATTAATCTCTCCTAGGAAAGAAAAGTGATGGAGAATGTAATTGTGTATGAATGTAACATCCCTGTCTGGCCTGGAATTGGATTTTTATTAAGTTTTGAGCCATGCACATCATTCCATGATGTCAGTGCTTGTAGCTACAAGCTGCTCCTGTTGTCAGCAGGATGCTGGGAAAGGGGACTGAAAGGGAGAGGCTGGGAAAACAACGTGCAGCACTGTTTTGGGAATTTGAGGCTAAAAATGGTTTCAGGCCACAGAGATGCTCCAAAAGCTGAACCCCTCCGTTCTGGAGCCAGGCTGAGAGCTGGGGGAGTTCACCTGAAGAAGAGAAGGCTCCATGAAGTCTCTTCCAGGGCCTAAAGGGGGTCTAGGAGAGCTGGGGAGAACTGCAGACAGAGGCATGGAGGGGCAGGACAAGAGGAATGGCTTCCCACTGCCAGAAGGTAGGGCTAGATGGGATACTGGAAAGTAATTCTTCCCTGTGAGGGTGCTGAGGCCCTGGCACAGGGTGCCCAGAGCAGCTGTGGCTGCCCCTGGATCCCTGGATGTGTCCAAGGCCAGGTAGGACAAGGCTTGGAGCAACGTGGGATAGTGGAAAATGTCCCTGCCCATGGCAGGGGGTGGAACTGGATGAGCTGTAAGGTTTTCCTCATGAAATTATGTACATCTGGGACACCCACAGCACTGCATTGCTGGGAATGATTTTTATCTTCATACAGGTGGAGCTGAGGAGACCCCAAAATTAGAAGTTGAGAAGATGAATTCTAAAAACAGCTCTCAACCCTTCTAATCTGTGAAGAAGAAAGGACCCATCCAAGCTGCTAAATTAAATTTGGATGTCAGAAGACACGTGTAGCACCCAAACTGCCTGTGGCCAAAACAGGTCCCTTCCCCAGGAACACACAGGTGACAGGGCTGCGACAGTAACGAGCTGGCAGTGGAAGAGATGCCGAGGTAAAGGCAAATACTGACTGCAGAGGTAGGAACACCCACCATAAACATCCTGCCTTGAGCCCACCTGGAGCAGTGATACAGCTTCTTCACCCGAGAACCCTTCAGCCACGCAGATCCTCAGGCTGCCACTGCCAAGCCTGGATGAGATCTCCTGTCTGCACTGCTGGGGAACCGAACAGCCTGTGCCAAGTGACAGGCATCTGCTCCTGGAGGCTACAGGTATATCATATCATCCAGCCCAGCTTATGGCATGTTCTCTTAAAGTCTTAATCCTTTGGATGTTCTCCTTTTATTTCTCAGCATTAAATTAGCCCTTTTCGCATCGCCAATACTGCACACTCCTCTGATAATAACTCCAGATTCTTTCTCTCCACTGCCCCAGTAACAGGTGGAAGGAATCACAGGCTGTAGTTTTGCTTGCATTTTCTTTAGCAAACGTGTCTTTTTTTCCTTCAGGTTGAGTTATTTTTAATCTGGCTCAATTCCCAAATTAGGTTCGCTGCCTGGCAGCAGGAGCAGTTGTACCTGCGCACTTGGGAGGAGCTGGGGAGCATGTGGAGTAGCTGCAGGAGCGGGGCTGGGGCCAGCACTGCTGCTGCATGAGGGGCTGTTGAAATATAGCCTTGTCTTCTGATTTTCACAAGCATTCACAAAGATGTGTAAGAAATTGTCCCAAGGCACACAGGAGCCATGGAGGCTGCTTAGAACAAACTGCCAGTCTTGGGAATATACATGATTTCCCAAGATTTGTCCTTAGCCTACCTCATGCAGACAGCCATTAGGAGAGGGTGGCTGAATTCACTCTTTGCCACTCAAGTCACCCTTTTCCCCTCTGCCAAAGGCAAAGGAAGAAAGCACTGGTGTAACAGCACAGACAGGGCAGTTCAAAGTGCCAGAAAAGGCTCTGGAACTTACACAGTCCCTGGTATCCCCTTGAGGAATCCTGAAGATTCAAACCTGACCTCCTGTGGTGAGGGCAGCTTGTCCCTCAGCAAAAGGAAAATGGCAGACAAGCCACCAGTTCTCCAGGAGCTGCATCCTGGCCAGCTTGTGCTCTCTCAGGTCCGAGAGAGCTGTCAGGGGTCTGCAGGTACCTTGTGGGTGCCAAAAGCCTAGGTCCCTAAATACTGTAAGGTCAGGGCAGGATCTTTCCCTGTGTGCTTTTGTGTTGTGACACAAGAACCAGCTTGGCTGAAAACCACTGATACGAATTGCAAAGCTGTGGCTCTCAGGAGCTCACTGAAGAAAAAATAACAGCAATTATTAGTTTTAACAGGAAGAAAAATGGAGAAGCATTTTGGGACAAAATCCTTTGACCGTGAAACAGAAGATTCCCACTCCAGGGCAAGTGGCATTGCGAAGATGTGCTCTGGGTTTAATTTAATAATGTTAAGAGAAAAAGATGGTTAATAGCTATAAAACTAAGGCCAGAGGTTGCAAGTCCTGTACATCAAATACAAGTAACTCTCACCTGAGCACAGTGATGGTTTGGACAGTACAGCTGCCTGGAAACAGCAGAATGCCCTACAATCAGTATCCTGTGGCCAGCCTGGGAAGGAAACAAGGTTTACTGAGAGCTGTAGTCATTAGCTCTACGGTTACTCTGTAATTGAAAACAGTGACTTGGTTTCTGGGATAAGTTTCTCATAGCAAGGTCTTCTTTATTTCCCCAAAGCTTGTTTACTTTTATGGGTTACTATGCTTCTCTGTAATTCAGTTCTCCCCAGGAAAGCCAATCTCTGAGCAATCACAGACAAAATGCTGGTGCTGAAAAATGCTTCTCCAACAGCAGTGAAAAAAAAATAATTGCAGCCTTTGGAAAAAAACCAAAAAACAGTGTGAAAGTGTTAACAAAGAACAAGGTCAGCAGGCTCTGTGGAGGCATTGTCCGTGCTGGTAGCTCTGGCATCTGGTCCTGAACCTCCCTGAGCCTGCACCGACTGCGGATGGCCTTGTCCCTGTGGTGCTGCTGCTGCTGCTGCAGAGGCCCCACTCCTCTCCTCTCCGCAGGGCTGACTCACTGCAGCGCTCCCAGCCACGCACAGAACACAAAAGCACCACGGCTGTGCCAGCACAGCCACCCCCTTCCCCTCTTCCAAACCGACCACCGAGTCAATCCCTGCCAGGTGGGACTGCCCTCTGAGCTGCTATGCTCCTGGCAGTAAAAAAATTTCAAAAACCCCAAAGGTCCCTCATATTCTTAATGCCGCGAGTCACTTGAGAAATGTGCTGATGCAATAGTACCGGCAAAGGATTTGAAATGGGAGTTTTCAGCCGCGGGTCATCACAGAGGATTCAGAGCATCACATGTCATGGCTGAGGCACTACAGACGGTTAATTTGACTCTGGGTGTATTTGCAGGTACTTGGCACAAATCGATCCTCCCCCAATCCATGCTCACCCCAGCTCTGTTCTTTTTGCATGGCTTTACATATTAATGACAAAGGCTTCATGTTCTAAGGCGTGAAGGAAAACGCCATTGAAGGGATTTTTCCTGCACTGGTTCTGCAAGTACCTATTGACTGTCTCCGCATGATGTCACCAACCTACAAGGGACCTTAGGGTCCCTTGGAACAGGGGGCCCTTGGAGATGAGAGCACCTAGCTTCTCTGTCAAATGCAAGACTGGCAGTAGGGTCCTCTTACAGAAGGTAGAACTGAATGTTAAGCATGTTTGCAGCCGCGGACAGGACCCTCTCCTATCCTTGCACACAATTTTACTTGCTAAATTAAATTCCTCTCACCAGAACTGCAAGCTGGATGCAGCATCCTCTCCACAATCTGGGTTTGGGATTCACCCCACACAGCTGCAAGCTGCCACACTGCACCAGGAAGGCCCCCTCTGCAGTCAGTGTGAGACACAATTAACCTACAGATTCCATGAACATTTATGGCCCCTGGAGAAAGCCTAATTCAGAGGTTTAGTCTACTTTTGCTGATGAAAAGAATAACTGAAACCATTCAGATGAGGAATTTCTCCTTCTGCCAGCCACCGCTTCAGCAGGCACGCAGGATTTTGCTTCAGTCAGCTTACACCTTTGTACAGCCCCACCCCCATCTCACACTGCCTCGACCACGAGGCGAAGCAATGCCCAAGCAAAACCAGCCCAGCCCAGAGCCAGCCCACTGAGAGGTGACTGCATAGACATCAGTGCTCTAGCAAGCAGCAAAAAAATGAGCGCATTCCTTTGTTAACAATTACTGCTGACCCTGACAGGACAACCGGCTCATAGCTACAGTCTCCTGAACACCCACAGGTGCACACAGCGGCACCAGGCCTGGGCTGGGCAATGCCCTTGCCAGGTTAGAAGCTCCAAACAACTTCAGTGAATTCCTTGTGTTCTGGCCACTCTTCATGGTACTTGCACCATTTACTGGACAGGTACCTTGGTGAAACACAAATATGCATTTTCATTCCCAGCCAGGTGAAACATCCCTCCAAATACATCAGCTTGATTTGATGCCAAGGGTACTGCTAGCACCAGGTGTCTGAGGAGTAACATTTTGGCTTTACCACTGAAAGGGTCCAACACCTATTTCCCACATAAGCCTGGCAGTACTCAAAAGTCTTCAGGCCAGAGGAGGCTGCTCCAGCACTCAGTAGCTGCAGCATCAAAATCTCCCAGCTCAAATGGTCCTGTGATTTGAAAGATAAAAATACAAGTTCTTGACTGAAGCCATTTTGTTGATGAGACTATTGTTGAGCTACTTCAGAGGCAATTACTATTCACAGTACAGCTTCCAAGCAGCTCAGCTTCTGCAGGGCCAGCACAAGGACAGGCTGTTTGTTTCCTGACAAGGCAGCTCCTCTCCTGGGCACAGGCTGCAGCCTGCACCCTCTCACCCTGGCCCTTGGTGCAGGCTGCAGCTACCTGACCCCTGGTTACAGAGCACTGCACTGAGCCAGATGTGATCAGAGTGAGCACAGCCCTGCATCTCTGCTCACCACAAATATGGCCCATGGCAGCAGCTGGGAACCACACTGCCACGAGCCAGGAGAAAGCGAAAGTTGTGGCAGAGGCGGCAGCATCACTCCGGCATGCTACCCAGTCACTTCAGGAACCTGCCTGCCTCAAGAGACCTCAGCCTCTTCCCAAAGGAGCAGCAACAGCTGGAAATCAGAGCCAGGGACACATTACAGCAATGTAGTGAGGAAGTTTTATTCGGAAACATGGTAGAAGTTTGTAACCCAACACTGGGTGCATGACTGATGCCGGAGCATACGCAGTTACTATTGAAACACGGGAGTGTTTCAGACAATTGCTGTAATAAAACACAAAATTCTCATACTCCAATACCAGGACACTACAGCAATCTCTAGAATCAAAATTACATCCAAGGAATTCTCTGCACTTACAATTTACCCCACAGTGTAATCTACCTATATATAAGATTAATATATATAGCATGGGAAATTGAAAATCCTTGCTCCATAGATGTATGAACATGTCAAGTCTTTTATAAATAAACATCCAGTGAAGAGAAAAAATTACATTTCTAGTTCATATTTATACATAAAATACTAACAGCAATGGGTGGAAAATTGCACACGGGCCACCCCAAGCCATGCAGCAGGCCTGGAGCAACCCTTCCAAGTTAATATTGAAGTACACACAGGACAGACAAGTCACTAACATATATTGCGCATTTACAAGAGATCAACTACCAAATTGGGACAACTGTACACATTGGAGAAACCATTTTCATTCTGGAGCTTTTTTTTTTTGTTAAACGTAGATTTGTTACATCTCTTTACATCATACTGCAACATTTA